TCTATCTATCTATCTATCTATCTATCTATCTATCTATCTATCTATCTTTCTCAATCTAGTCTATGTGAAGAAACTCAGTGAAGACATTGAGATTCCAGTGTTCTAACCACAAGGATCACTGTGACAGCCTGGGCTCTGAGCAGCTCAATCTACACAAGCCATGCTTCCTTCTTTAGCAGATTCTATGATGTGTTTGTTTTTCACATATCCAGCAAGGGTAAGTTTTGCCCTAACTCTTGTTGCACTGGACGGATTTCCCTCTGGGAGCCTGAAAGTCACTGTGATGTAATAGCTAGAAGTAAGGTTTCTGTAGACAAATGGCTTTGCAATCTGACTGCTGGCTGTCATTCATGACCTTGGACATATTGCTTGGTCCCCTTGCCTCAGTTTCCTGATGTGCAGTCTTGGGGAGGTATCTGGGAAGAGGAACAAATATGTGCAGTCTTAGGAAGTATATCTGGCAGGTGCCTAGGTTCACGGTGCAGGCGTCAGTGAGCTATGAAACCATGAGGTGACGGTGAGGAGCTGAAGGGCTGGGAGCCTCTGAATCAGGTGCAGCTTTAAGGGAAGGTTCAGCTCTCTGGAAACTTCTGGGCAGGCCCAGAGCCCAAGCACTACATACCAGAAAAGCAGGAGTGACAGGGGTGGGGAGGCCACTGGACTCCCTGCAGGGAAGGAAGCTGAAGACTAGGGAGGGAGTGGACAGGGTAGCGGCCTTGTTCTGCCCAGCCCTGTGCCCTGATCCCAAGGGGTCTGTGCTGTTCTGACTCTGTGGCACTTAAGTGGCATCCCATTTCGTCCCCTCTCCTCTCTACTTACCCAGTTCCCCTTGGCAGATGTCAGTCCTGGTGGCTCCTCCAAGAATGAATTCTGGGTTTTGCACAATTTCCTGGAGGGTGAGAGTACCTTAGGGGAAGGCCCAAAGCATAGCAGCCGTCACAGAGAGAAAGACAGCCCTGCCCCTCAGGGGAGAAGATTCTCCTGGAAGGACAGGAGGAGGGGAAACTGCCAGGGATGTACGCTCTGACCTTCCTGGACTCAGCTTAGTCCACACCCAGCTCAGCTCAGGGGAGAGCCTGGCACCGGCACCTTCCTCTATAGAAGCTCACACCGTATCTCACCAGGAAGTGGGCTGCCAGCCACATACCAAGCCTCGGTGCGGGGCCAAGCACAGGCTGGTTTTATGTAGCCCCTTACCATGCAAATCACCAGCTCTTGGCCTTTGAACTCTTCTCCATGGAATGAACATGTGATCAGCACCTCAGGCCGGCATCCCCACACCCTAACCAGATGCTTTCCTTTCCCAATAGGTTGTCTGTATCTGCACACATCTAGAGGGATGTCTTTATGTCACACATCATTTCATCCACATGTACTATGAACACTTTATTACACATTACTCTATTAGGAATTTAATGTGTGTGTGTATTTTATGTATATTACTATAACATTAACATAGAAACCTAATATGGAAAGTTCTATATAAAACACGAAAAAGTAAAAGCAATTCTACGAAACATGGGGGGTTTTTTGAGACAGGGTTTCACTATGTAACTTTAGCTGTCCTAGAACTTGCAATGGAGACCAAACTGGCCTTGAACTCATAGAGATCCTCCTACCTCTCTGCCTCCCAGGTGCTAGAATAAAGACCTGTGCCACCACATCCTCCTAAGATGTGTATATATGAAAAAGTGTTTAAAATTTCAGAAGAATGAAGTCATATGACATGAAGCACGAGATGGCAGTCACCTGTCAACAGAACAGCAGGGGTCTCAGGACCCCTGACGTGGCAGAGGTAATAGCTCCAGTGGGAACCTTTCCTGATCAGCCATTTTCTGTCCCTTCATCTGTGCTGGGCACGGCTCCCAGGGCTCAGCATGCTCAGCAACTGCCCTACCACCCATCTACATCCCCAGCTTTATTTTACTTTGAGACACGTACACATTTCATGAAGTTGCCCCAGCTGGCCTTGTACTCCCCAGTCTAGTCCAGGCCAGCCTTGAACTTGGGTTCCTTCTGCTGGTTGCTGGGATCATCTCACATCCTCACTGGGGCCACCTACTAGATAGTTTGCTGCCTGGGGCGGGGCCACGAAACTGCTGCCTGGGGCGGGGCCTCGGCACTGCTGCCTGGGGGCGGGGCCACGGCGCTAATGCCTGGGGCGGAGCCACAGCACTGCTGTCTGCTGCTCATCACACTTGTTCTTTCCTCTCTCAGAAACTCAGGCCCTGCAATTTAGACACACTGTTTCTGGGCAGCGAGAGTTGGAATGTGTGCGCGCTGTTTCCTGGAACAAATCTGCTGCCACATTCAGTTTGCCTCAACTTGTCCTACGGGTCTTGATTTCTTTCTCATCCTTCTCCTATTCCAACCCTCTTTTCTCTCTCTTTCCTCCCTCCCTCCCTCCCTCCCTCCCTCCCTCCCTCCCTCCCTCCCTCTCTCCCTCCCTCCCTTCCTTCCTTCCGATTTTTGAAACAGAGCCTCACTATGCAGCCTAGCCTGGCCTCAAACTTGTGATCTTCCTGCTTGCACTCTTTTCTGCCTTTTTGAACGTCAGACTCTGTCCCTGGCACTTTCCCCAGCACAAGTGAGAGAGAGAAAGTCCTTGTGATCCCTGAAAGAACCATCAGTCAGCTGTCAGGGCAGATCTGGAGAGCACTGTGCCTGATGTGGGACCAGAAGGCCTAGGGGAGGCTAAGGCTCAGAGACCTGAGCATCTTCAGGAGACGTTCCCGTTCCCATACCTGTGGAGGTCCAGAAGCGAGAAGAGCATAGCCTGAGACTTACAAGGGTACTCTGGACACAGAGAAGGACTCACTTTAACTGGATCAGGGTGACTTCAGGATGGAAACAGGATGGGTAAAGCTAGAATTGAGGAAGGGCCAGGGCTGGGACAGGAAGTCCCCAAGTGTTATTTTTAAATCCATAACTCAAGTAAAATTTTATCCTTCTCAAAGATCTCTGATGCAGTTTGACAGCTGAGAGGTTTTGTCAGTTTAAAAGGACAACCTCACCAAACAAATTTCAGTAAAATACAAAAACAAGACCTACAAGTTATAAAACTGTGAGGACAAATACAAGTTAACAAATTTCTCTCTCATGCTGCCTTTCATAGTCTTAAAAATACTTGTCATTGTGCAAAAATATCTGTCACAGTCATTCTGACATAAATACGCTACTGTTTATCCAATGTATATGTCTAAAACTTCTGTTTTCACCAACCCAAAGAATTCTTGTGAGTTCCAGGGAGCTGAATTGAAGGATCCACCTTAAACAGGTCAAATACATACCCCTTAATTCCCTGGTCCTAAAGTTTTTTTCCTTAATTTAACTTTTCTGTGTTCTGCCAATACCTTAACCAGGTGTAAGAGACACCAGACATTTCCATATCACAAACACTGGACAGGAACAAACAGACCAGCTACTCCAGGATGTGACCAGCACCCAGTCTTCTCAGGTTTCCCCCCCACAAAGACGACACCCACAAATAAGCAGGAAGCAGCCTTGAGAATCCGTCCCAATTTCTTTAACCTGTGGTGCCTAACCTCCTGCCTTTTTATTATAAAAAAGAGATGGGAATGTAATGATTTGTTCTATCTCTTTAAGAGACAAGCCACGCCCACTCCCTCCCCTCCACTGAGGCAGGCTGATCTTCAGCTTCCAGCCTGAGTTCTTTCTCTTTTCTATCTTCCTCTCGGAGAGGCAGCTTCCATCTCTCCCTTCTCTCCTCTCTCTCTCTCTCTCTCTCTCTCTCTCTCTCTCTCTCTCTCTCTCCTCCTCTCTCTTCTCCCCCTTCCCTTCCATACTTCCATAACCCACTTAATAAATATCCAACCTTGCTCTGCATCTCTCATTCATGGTGTGCCTATCCATGTCTCTGTCTCTTGCCTACCACCGCGTGTCTCCCTGCGTTGGACCAGCCACCACTCGGGGACCTGCAGTTGTCCCTGTCTGGGATTGGCTGCTCTCGGGACCCCCTGCCCACTGCCTACCCCCACATGGCCTGCTGCCTGCTGCCACTGGGGATTCTGCAGCACTTTTAATTTTTCCATGACCCCAGGAGTCTCTGAGAGGATGCTGCGGTAGCTCCAGCTGCAGCTCCTCCTCCTCCTAGCAGTTCAAATGGTCTGCTTCCTCCCTCGGCCTGGTTCCCAGAGAGATGGTGGGAGTGGGGAGTCTACTAAGGCCAGGGGCTGAAGTGAAAGCTGCTAGCTCTCCATGAGGCTCTCAGGATGTGGTAGTTTGGGGGAGTGTAGTCTCCCAGGTCACCTACCTCGGAAGGGCTCTGTGCCTTTATTTGTTTCTAAAGTGTTCATGTGACCTTAGGGGGAGGGTTCTGGGGACAGTTTGTGCTGTTGGCTGGGCCAGAAGCCCAGGCCTGGCAGAAGACCCACACGGGAGGCCAACTTCTCCCCTAGACCCTGCACAACCTTTTGTACCTGCCCGCAGCCCCAGAAACCTTGGAGTCCGTCCATTAACTGACCCCATCCGCCATGCCCAGGGCAGAAAACGAGGCAGCAGAACAGCTCCTCCTCCATCTCTGTGTCTCAGGGTGGCTGTGTGTACAGCAAGGCACACTGTTGTCCTCGGCTGCTGTCCTCTCCCAGGACATACCCAGCCTGGTATGTCCCCTCTTACCCCTGGGGACACCAAGTTCCTTTCTCCTTCTCCCCTCCCCCACTCTCCTCCACTCAGGCTGAAGGTGAGGCTAAGAACCCACCACCTCTGATGTCCAACTGGTTTTGTGTTACCTTTTGCCACACACAGCTGTGTTTGACAAGAAGGAGGGCCACTCTGCCCACAGCCCATAAAGGGCTGACATAAGCGATTGAGATGTGCCCTGTATGAGGTACACACTTAGCCACAGGCTTTCTGGAGGCTGAGGCAGCTCAGGGCCTCTCTGTAGGCCTGCCCTGCATCAGGCCCGACACATCCACCTTGACAAGACAAGAGGACTCTCGGGGTTCACCATGGCTGTAGGGCTGAATGAGGAGAACAGGCTCTTCGACTAGGAAAGAGATGAATGTTTGGGGGACAATATGTAGATAGGGAACAGTTTGGGTCACACTCACAGGGGAGGCAGATCCAGTCCTAAAAGAGTCCACAGGATGGGCTGTGGAAACAGAGACTGGAAACGGAATGTGAAGATTACAGGCGTGGTTTGGTCCCAGCCTCAGTCAGGAAAGGGCAGAAGGACCCAAATTTGGAAATACCTTTGCAAAGGGTATGTGGCAGGCACCTTGGAGGCTGAGCTTCAGGGCCCTGCCCTCCGGATCAAAGCTTCCTAGTGTCGGGAAACTCTGGATGGGTATCAGCCGTGCAGATGACAGCAGCTTTCAGGGCTGCGGGCTTTCTCAGAGTCCCCATGGCTTTAGTAGTCTCCAACTCCAGTAGGAGGGACAAAGGCCTTTAGGGTCCAGGTCAGTGGTTCTCAACCTTCCTAATGCCGTGACCCTTTAATAAGCTCCTCATGTTGTAGTACAACAGTACAATTATTTTCATTGCTGCTTCATAAGTGTAATCTTGTTCTTGTTATGAACTGTAATAAAAATGTCTGACAGGCAGGATATCTGATATGACACCCCTGTGAAAGGGTCTTTTGACCCTAAGGGATTGTTGTTACACACAGGTTGAGAACAGCCACCCTAGTGGAACAATGGTAGTGTAAGTTTAAGGGACTCCCAACCACCCGGATGTTAGTGTAGTGTGAGGCTGGGACTCCCAACCACCTGGATGTTAGTGTAGGTGCAAGGCTGGGCCTCCTGAATGAGCCAAGCAGGGCCACAGTGGACTGTTAAGGACTTCACTGGCTGGCCTGAAGTCATGAGCAACTCCTGCAAGAACAGTATGGCCTCAGCAGGAGGGCTGAGAGAGGAGAGAACAGACTGTGGGGAGGAAGAAGGGCCAGGGCAAATTGAGAATGGAGGAGCAGAGGGGCCAGCATCTGGGAACACCCTGGAATCCTGACGGCTGGCCGAACCCACATATAAAACCTTTGCTGCACCCAGAGGTCCCCAGGCCAGACTCCCACATATTGCAGAGATACAGTGCCAAGATCTACAGCACATTTGTGCATGTAGGTACACACAGAGGGATTCACATACACAGGATACATGCAAATACACATGTGTGCACACAGACACCGGTGCACAGACACATACACATGCATGAACACAGAACTACACATGCATATGGTACACAAATTCACATGTGCATCACATGCACATAGGCACGCACAACACACTTGCAAATGTACTTTTGTGTGCACAAAATGTACACATATATGAACCCATGTGTCAAGAGTGTGGCTATTGAGGTCGGTGGCCCAGAAGCTTCTAGAGCAAGTACTTCCAACCTTTTCTCATCGCGTGAACAGGAAACGTGATTGTATGTGGCATCCTAAGATGGAAGGGAAGCTGGTTAGGTCCAAAGTGACCAGGCCAAGCGTGACTATCCTGGGAGGAGGCATCGACTTTCCAAGAGCATTTTCCCAAGATCTTGATTACCCAGCAGTTCCCAGAATTGAATGAACTGCGCCTGTAGTCCATGGCCCAGGCAGCCGTTCACCTCTGGATGGAATGCACCCGCCGCCTGAGAAGTTGCTCGACACTGGACAAAAATGTATCCATAGCCCGTAGCCCAGGCAGCTGCCCACCACTGAGTGAAATGCACATCCATCCCGGCCAGCAGCCATGTACCTATTTATCTTTGTCCTGAGGGCTGGAAACCAGCCCAAGAAAACCTGAAGGTTACCAAAGTGCCACCGGAGGTCACTTCTCTGTGTCTTAGGACCTGTGCTTTTTCACATTAGAGATGTCCATTTTCTTCCATAGCACAGAACAGTCTATCCACCCACATGGTCCAAGTGTCTACCTTTACCACCATTGGCCACATGCAGAAAACCAAACTAACATCAGGTGTCTTTCAAGTGCCCAGACAGAGATCCTGGGAGCCTTCACCGTGTCCTACCAAGACCACTGAACGCTCTTTACCGTTCCCCACACATAAGACACCAAAATAGGACTCAATACTGCACCTTCCCATGAGGACCACTGCCTCACTGATGGAGGCCAGGACGTATGTACACAGACACATATGCATACATGTGGATATATGTGTACATGCAGAAGGGCACACAAATACCCATGAGTGTACACAATACACTCACAATCTAAAACAAACATATACATGTGTACATACACTTATAAATTGCACATTGCCCAGGACAGAAAATAGCAGTGTGTATTGGCTAATTTTTATCATCTTGATACAAGTTAGAGTCATTGTGGAAGAAGAAACTTCAATTGAGGAATTGCCTCCATCAATTTGAACTGTAGTGGGGGCATTTTATTGATTAAAAATTGTTGTGGGGGTTCAAGGCCATTGTGGTAGGTGTCCCCTTGGGCAGGTGGTTTTGGGCTGTGTGGGAAATGTAACTGAGCAAGCCATGGGGACCCAATAAGTAGGCAGCGTTCCCCGCCCCCATGATCTCTGATTCAGGTCCTGTCTCCAGGCTCCTGCCCTGAGTTCCTGCTCTGATGCCCATTTATGATGGATTATAAGCTGTCAGGTGAAGAAGCCCTTTCCTCCCCAGCTGCTTCTGGTCACGGTGTTTAGAAGAGCGGAAGAAAGCAAACTGAGACAACCCCACTGGTTTATAATGAAAGACCCAGGAGCCCTGATGTCTTTCTTGTGTGTGTTTTTAAAAAATATTTATTATGTATACAATATTCTGTCTGTGTGTATGTCTGCAGGTCAGAAGAGAGCACCAGACCTCATTACAGGTGGTTGTGAGCCACCATATGGTTGCTGGGAATTGAACTCAGGACCTTTGGAAGAGCAGGCAATGCTCTTAACCACTGAGCCATCTCTCCAGTCCCTCTTGTATGTTTTCTAAAACTTAGACATTGACATCACTGAAACGATGTGCAAGAGGCAGTGGTTACGGTAAGGAAGATGAGGACTGAAGGCTGGCAGGATGGCAGAGTGGGTAGAGCACTTGCTTATGGGCCCAAGGACCTGAGTTTGACCCCCAAATCCCACAAGGTAGCAAGGAAAAGAGACTCCCAAGAGTTGTTCCCTGACTTCCATACATGTCTATGGCATGTTTGAGCCTTCAGGCAGAGTAAATAAAGGCTGGTGAGAAGGCTCAGCAGGTAAAGGCACTTGATGCCAAGGCCAATGGCCTGAATTTGATCCCTGGGACCCACAGAGTGGAAGGAGACATGTTCCTGCAAGTTGTCATCTGACTGTCACATGACCATTGTGACACTCATGTGCACACACACACATGCACACATACACAAGCAAATGAATAAAAAAATAAAATGTCAAGATGAGATTCTGAGTGGCTGACGATGGAGAAGCACACAGCAATGCTAACAGTGAAAATATGCTGTTTACTAAGGACACTTGTGTGCCCGCCAGGACCCACCTCAGTCATCTCTAGGTGAGGCAGCAACCAGTCCACTGCCCCTCCCCGCACACACAACATCTGTTCCCACCCAGAGGGTGCAGCATCATGGCCCTGGATCCCAGGGAGGCCCTGACTAATCAGGGCTGCAAATATTGACCTTGTGTCCTAAGCGCCAGCTGGTGCCTCCTAGGCACCACACTGGAGGTGGGGTGTCACCCACTGGCTTTGTCTCCCTGGGAAAGTAGCTCTGCTTTACCTGGAGTCCAGGTATCACATACTTGCCAAGAACCTGTAGCAGCATCCACCTAACCCCCTGGTTCATCCTCAGCTCTGGACCAAAAGCTTCAGAGCAGGGCTGGCTGTCTCCTAATACATCACACACCTCAACTGACCCCCGAGCGCCCCTCCCCCCCACGACTCCCGCACCTGCCTTCCTGGATAGTTTACCTCTGTGTTCTGATTGACCAAGTCACCAGAGCGCTGTCCTTGGGCTACAGCTCTGATCCTGCTCACAGGTCATAGATGAGACCTTCCCTCTCTGTGTCCCCAGATGCAGTGGGACTCAGAGCTGGAGGCCAAATGTTGCGGCTGGGGAACAGCTGAAGGTGTCTTCAACCAGCACTGTACCAGAAAGCCTCCCACAAAGGACAGAAAGTGGTCTTACTAGTGACTGGCTCTTCTCCATCCCCTTCAGTCTGCCCCCCTCTCTCCCCTTATCCCTCTTCCCCCTCCTGTCTCCTCCCCTTCCTCTACTCACCCCTGGTCGTTTCCACACAAAGGGGACCTGGGGCCTCTCGCTGTAGAACAGGGAACTGTTGCTGGCAGGGAAGTCAGCATCCTCAAACAAGGTTCCTGACTGCAGGCAACCCTGCCTCAACTGTTCAAAGCTTTGACCCGAAGAGTGGATGGTCCGGGCATCCCCAGGGACTGGGTGTGGCTGGGGCCTCAGAGACCGATGTAGGTAAGGCATGACTGCTTCTCCACAGCCTGGTAGAGGCAGAAGATGTGAGAGACGAGGAGAGAGTGGCCAACAAAGAGGAACAGCCAGAGGCCCTCACCCTGGCCTCCACCAGCTTGCGGGGCACCTCCCTGTGTAACGAGATAGGGCCCCTCCCAAATAGCAAATACCGAGTGAGACCTCTGCCCACTCAGGCTCTGAGGAGGCACAGGCATCTCTAGAGCATGGCAAAGTCTGAGCAGAGGGAAGAGGTACCTGTGTTCGAGGCAGTGGGAAGTTGCTGAAGGACAGGCAGGGCAGCTTCATAGGGAAGGCTAACAAGCAACCAAAGGGGTTCAGGAGTGTGGGACCCAGAGTCAGAGCAGAGTGGCAGAGCTTTGCGGTTGGAGGGACCTGGGTGAACGACAATGCCACACTGCCAGCAGAGCTTCCAGGGCTCTTGTGAACACAATCCCAGCCTGACTTCCATCAGGGCTCGGCAGCCTCTTCTGCGGCAGGCCAAGTCCACGGAGCGCCGCCTGTGATCCAGCCACTCGCTCGCTTGACGGTCACTTTGCCGAAGCAAGTGTGTTGCCACAAAGATGAGGTTATAGCCGTACTGAGCCTTCCCTACAAGGAATTGGCTCAGCTTGGGAAAGTGCTTACTGCCCATTCAACGAGGAGCCGAGTTTGAGCCTCCAGGATCTACATTAGAAAAAGCTGGGCATAGTAGCATCCACTTGTGATCTCAGCACTGAGAAAGTGGAGACAGGTCTTGGGGCTAGCTCAGCCAATGAGAAATGTTGTCTCAAAAGAACAAGGCACTCCAGCAGGGGTGGCACACAACTTCAATTCTAGCACTCAGGAGGCAGAGGCAGGTGAATCTCTGTGAGTTCCAAGCCAACCTGGTCTCCAAAGTGAATTCCAGCATAGCCAAGGCTAGCTATTACACAGAGAAACCCTGTCTCCAAAAAGAACAAAAACCAAAACAACAAACAAACAAACAAACAAAAGAGCAAGATATGAGGGCTGGAGAGATGGCTCGGCAGCTAGGAGCACTGACTGCTCTTCCAGAGGACCCTAGTTCGATTCCCAGCACCCACGTAGTAACTGACAACCATCTGGAACTCCAGTTCTAGGTAACCCAATCACTTCTTCTGGCTTCTGCAAACACTGCATACATGTGGTGCATATACATAACGCAGGCAAAACACCCATACAGATAAAGAAATAATAACAACAATAAGGTGTTTGACACCAGAGGAATAACACCTGAAGTTGACTTTTGGCCTACACACACACACACACACACACACACACACACACACTCCTTACAAAAGCGTGAGGTCCTAGTGGTTTGGCCCCGAGACAAGTGAACTCAGCTATAAAGCTCCCCTCTAAACCCTGCGCTCCCCACTTCCCTCATCACATCACACCCTCCCTCAGGATCTTGAAGCTCTCAGGCTTGAGCGAAGCATCTAGGCATCTCAGAGGGAGAACCGGGCGCTGCCTAGCACAGGCTCTCTTCCTGGAGCCAGGACAATGGTGCCTGAGCAGTTAGCAGGGCCTGTGGCAGGGTCTCCAGGTCTAAGGGAGCCACTGGGAAATGCCGGCTGGGTGTCTGGCTGAGATGAGGATGATCCCTACCTTACAGTGTCCTGTCAAACTGACTTGCAGGAAACCGTGTTGAGACTATTGCCCCATTGACGGAGCACATGCCTAGCGTGCAGCAGGCCCTGGCTGGGTTGTCAGCGCCTCCAAAACAGGCATGGTGGTCCATGACTGCAATGCCAGTGCTAGGTGGTGGGGCAGGAGCAGCGGAAATCTAAATTTCCACAACCTGGGCTATCCTGGGCTAGAGACCCTGTGGAAAGAGGGGAGGGGAGGAAGAAGGAATGAAAGAATGAGGAAAAGAAAGAAAGAGGAAAAGAAAGAAAGAGGAAAAAGAAATCGTCTAATTTTTCCCCATCTGAACTTCATGGTCAAGTTCTCCAGAGCAAGGCCAGTCCCTCGGAGACTTTCTGTTCTCGCACACTAAAGTTGTCATTTGAATGTGCCTTACCGAATTGCAGCAACTGAGACAGCCTTCAGGGTGCAAAGAGGTGAAAATCCATAGCTCAGGCCGAAGGTCTGTCTCATAGCCAAGGGTCGTCAGTGGGATTCCCTTCTGTGGGAAGACAGTTTCATGCCGTGTGATGATGACATCACCTTGGGACAGGGTGGCACAGTAGGATGAGGCGGTCACAGGACTCTCTGCTGGGGCCCAGACATGTGTGCCGATGCTGCGTATTGGGAATGACAAGCATCCCACTGTGTGGGGGACGGAGCCTCTGGGTTCAGGGGACGAAAGTGAGCTCACTGTGTTGGACCAGGGATCAGGGGGCAGGTGCTATGGCTGTAAAGGGGTGGCAGGTGGCGGGCATGGGGATTGCACACTGACTGGGAAGGCAGCCTTGGGCTGATCTGAAGTTTGAATAGAAGAAAAGAACACCCTTCCCCTTCCCATGGTGCTCTAGATGAGACAGGTAGAGAGGGGTGATGTCGGGAGTCATGAGAGCCGCCCACCAACAGGGAGCGCTGTTGGAGCTAGACCTGAAATCACCTTCCACAGCTGCAGGTATGGCTCTGGTTACCAAGGAACCAGATGATGCAGGAGCCTGGCTACGAAGAACCACCCAGGCAGAAAGGAGCCCATCAATCACAAGACTTCACCCGGAGGCAGGGCAGCTTTCCTTCCTCCTGCTAGGGGATTTGGTGCCTTGGAGCAGATGCTCACAATGTCAAGTCTTGCTTCCCACAGAGACCCAGAACTGTGGGCTGTGTCTCCAGAGATGGTCCAGGACCGTGATGAACATTCCTGGTTGCTGCAACTGGCGAAGTCCGCCTAGTCCTTGAAGAGATTTTGCATAGCTACAGGAGAAAGTCCCCATGATGACAGGCTGCACACAGCCAGCCCTCATGAAAGGGGGAAGTGAGTTCTTCCCTCTTCGATAGGAAGGATTATACCTCTTAGTTTTATCTGATACTTGCCTTGACCTGACAGTATTCGTTAGCGGTTAATATCACTGCCTGGAGCTGAGGGAGGGCGATAGGAGGCTGCGGCCCTCAGGCTCTGGCCTGGCTGAGTGTGGATGAAAGCAGAAGGGTGGAGTGGCAAAGGGCACAGTGCGGGAGGTTACATCAGAGATAGGGTCAGGTCACCTTTGCTCTTTAAAACACACACATACACACAGACATTTACTTGGTGTGTGTGTGTGTGTGTGTGTGTGTGTGTGTGTGTGTGTGTGTGTACTTGTGTGTGCTTATGAGTTTCATAGGACAATGTAAGATGTCAGCTCTCTCTTTCTACCATGTGGATCCCGGGGACTGAAGTCAGGTTATAAGGCTGGGATCCAAGTGCTTTGCCTGCTGAACTGTCTTGCCACCTTTGTCCTCCTACGTGGCGATCCTCGCAGTCACAGACCGCGTGGACATGCCTGATGACAGGTACGTCTCCTGTGAGTAAGGCGAGCCCACGCACAGCCACCTTGCTCCAAGCTCTCCTCCCTGTCTCCCCTCCTTTTCTTCCAGTTCTTTGCGTGTGGGAAGGGTGCATGTGTGTAAGGTGGAGTGTGTGCCTATTTGAGGTCAGAAGGGAACTATTGGTGTTGTTTCTTAGGGAACACGCCTTTTCTTGGGGGGGGGGGATGGTGTCTCTCCCTGGCTTGCAACTGACAAGAGTAGCCAGTGAGTGCCAGGGATCCAACTGTCTCTACCTCCCCAGTGATGGGGTTACAAGCATGCACCACCATATATTTCTCTCTGTGTGTTTCTGTCTGTCTGTCTGTCTGCCTGTCTCTCTCCTCTCTCTTTCTCTTTCACTCTGCTCAAACTCAGGTCTTTATGCTTGTGAGGCACACACCTTTGTTTTAAACACCGTGTGTGTTAACCAGGTGCCACCCTCTCCCACCTGGAACAGCACAGCAACCCCAGCCACACAGCCGGACCATGTGCTTCGGACTGTGTACAAGGCCACTGCTACTTCTCATCACTCAGATGAGCACAGCAGCCATTGTGGTTACTTCTCACACGCATGCCCAGGCAGTGGGAGCTCTATACAGTGACTGGTGTTATGACTTAGTGGCAGCTAAGGAGCCCCAGCAACCACAGTGTTGCCTGGCAGTCCTCCGCTGAGGCCCTTGATCCACCTTCTTGGCTTGGTTGTTTGGTACAGAATCTTACTCTGTAGCTCAGGCTGGCCTTGAACCCGAGGTAGTCCTCCTGGCTCTACCTCCCTCGACTGGAATTGCACCTCCATGCCCTGCATCCACTCCGCCTTGCCCCCTCTCTTCCTCGTCTGCAGTGGAAAGATACTAGTATTTGTGTTTCCACATGTCTTTGCTGTGTTTTCCATAGAGCTGACCATTAAGTAAATATTATTTCCAGAGCTCAGTTTTCGCAAGAGACACCAGGCCCACAGGACAGATCTTCTACCATTGCTTGGAGCTCTGTTGGAAAGAGGGTGATGACATTTTTTCCGTAGGAAGGGCCATGCCTTATCTACACTCACTGAGCCGGGGCAGAAGCTCCCTCCCATAGACTTTCCCAGCACCCACACCAAGGCAAACATGGAGTTCGGACTGGCAATGTGTGGCCGTGGCCGTGAGCGCATGAGCTCTAATGAGCCAGAGTAGAGAAGGTTAGGAAATAGCCCTTTCTCTCTGCTACTGTTACCTCATTCTGCTGGGCTGGAAATAGCCCTTTCTCTCTGCTACTGTTACCTCATTCTGCTGGGCTGGAAATAGC